CAGTGTTTGTGTGTGGGAGCACTGTGTGTGTGTGTGAGCACTGTGTGTGTGTGTGGGAGCACTGTGTGTGTGTGTGTGTGGGGGGGAGACGTGTATGGGGGTGTAGTGTGTGTGGGGGGAGAAGTGTGTGAGGGTGTAATGTTTGTATGGGGAGCACTGTGTGTATGTGGGGTGCAGTGTTTTTATGGGGAGCACTGTGTGTATGTGGAGAAGTGTGTGTGTGTGGGGTGCATGTATTGGGGTGCAGTGTTTGTATGGGGAACACTGTGTGTATGTGGAGAAGTGTGTGTGTTGGGTGCAGTGTTTGTATGGGGAGCACTGTGTGTATGTGGGGTGCAGTGTTTGTATGGGGAGCACTGTGTGTGTGGGGTGCAGTGTTTGTATGGGGAACACTGTGTGTATGTGGAGAAGTGTGTGTGTTGGGTGCAGTGTTTGTATAGGGAGCACTGTGTGTATGTGGGGTGCAGTGTTTGTATGGGGAGCACTGTGTGTATGTGGAGAAGTGTGTGTGTGGGTGTGTGTATGTGGGGTGCAGTGTTTGTATGGGGAGCACTGTGTGTATGTGGAGAAGTGTGTGTAAGGCAGTGTGTGTATGGGGCTGTGGGGGCAGTGTGCCATAGGGTGTGGGGAGCAGTGTGTATGGGGGCTGTAGGGGCAATGTGTGTAAGGAGGCTATGGGGGTAGTGTGTATGGGGGCATGTGGGAGCAGTTTGTTTGGGGCAGTGGGGGCAGTGTGTATGGGGAGCTATGGAGGCAGTGTGTATGGGGGACTATGGAGGCAGTGTGTATGGGGGGCTACGGGGGCAGTGTAAAACAAATTATTTTAGTTTTTTTAAATTAATAAAATATTATTTATAATCCCCCCTCCCTTCCTACATTTGCCTAGGGAGGGGGGATATTGCTTGTAATCCCTGGTGGTCCGGTGGAATCCCTGGTGGTCCACTGGTGAGAGTAAATTCTAGCCTGCACCTCCTGAGGCTAGAGTTCACTCTCGCGAGAACGGAACGTTGCCGTGGTAACCGCAGCAACACTCCGTTCTCGCGAGAGGAGACCCGGCGGAGCTATAGACTAGAGCTCCTCATGGGTCTCCTCTCTCCCATGCTGGCCGCCCAGTAATATGCCTGCGGACCAGTGAGGGAGATCTCTGATCTCCCCTCCAGTCTGTGAAGGCATTTAGCAGGGCCGGCGCTTGGACAGCACCGGCCCTGCAGGAGGGAGCATCGGATCTCGGGGTGGCAATTGCCCCGTTGCCCCCCCGGATCCCCCACTGCATTAGAGATGTCTTTGCCAGAAGCTCAAGGAAGCAAGGTGAAAGGTCAGTGTTGGAACCCACCTGAGGGGGTCTGCCTTAATGTTGGCAGGCGGGCATTCCCTCCAATGGCCATTGGAGTAAATACATGACCTCCATTTGTTTAAATAGAAACATAGAAACATAGAATGTGATGGCAGATAAGAACCATTCGGCCCATCTAGTCTGCCCAATTTTCTAAATACTTTCATTAGTCCCTAGTCTTATCTTATAGTTAGGATAGCCTTATGCCTATCCCACGCATGCTTAAACTCCCTTACTGTGTTAACCTCTACCACTTCAGCTGGAAGGCTATTCCATGCATTCACTACCCTCTCAGTAAAGTAATACTTCCTGATATTTTTAAACCTTTGTCCCTCTAATTTAAGACTATGTCCTCTTGTTGTGGTAGTTTTTCTTCTTTTAAATATAGTCTCCTCCTTTACTGTGTTGATTCCCTTTATATATTTAAATGTTTCTATCATATCCCCCCTGTCTCGTCTTTCCTCCATTCCTCCAAGCTATACATGTTAAGATCCTTTAACCTTTCCTGGTAAGTTTTATCCTGCAATCCATGAACCAGTTTAGTAGCCCTACTCTGAACCCTATCTAAGGTATCAATATCCTTCTGAAGCACTGGCGGATGCAGGGGGGGGCCAACGGGGCAATTGCTCCCCCCCCTCCCCCCCGAGAATCTAAAGGTTCTCCCTCTCCCCTGCCGCCAGCCCTGCAATGTGCCTTCATGGACCTCTCCGGTCCACAGGCACTGTTTGCTGGCGGCCGGCAAGGGAGGGAGTGAGAGAAGACCCGGGGGAGCTCAGTCTGCAGCTCCTCCAGGTCCTACTCTCGCGAGCACGGAGCGTTGCCACGGCAATGCTCCGGATCTCGCGAGATTGAACTCTAGCCCTGGAGACCGGGGTTGGAGTTCACTCTCACCACCTGGACCACCAGGGATCGAGAAATGTCCCCCTAAACAAAGGTAAGAAGGGAGGGGGGACAGTATGTATATTTTAAATAAATAATAAAATAAAAAAATCATTTTATCAAATAAAAAAAATAAAAAATTAAAAAAGCCCCCCATCCTTATCAGACACATACCCTACACACACATTGCCCCCCACATACATAGACTGCCCCCATACACACACACTGCCCCCACATACATAGACTGCTCCCATACACACACACTGCCCCCACATACATAGACGGCTCCCATACACACACACTGCCCCCACATACATAGACTGCCGCCATACACACACACTGCCCCCACAT